CCCCAAAACCCCAAAACCCCGCAAAGCATATAAATTGTAAGTTTCAAGAAATTAATTGTAAACTATGATATTGTTGAATCTTTTTGTTAGATCTCTAAAATTATATATGTTATGATATATTTTCATTTTAGTCTGCCTAGCTTCAAACTATTCTATGGAATTCCTTGCCATATTATGTGCTCGTTTATGGTTTTATTACTCTTTATCTCATCTTTTTCTTTGGACATTCCAATGCTCGTTTTCATATGACCGAATCCCAAAGATGATTCCATCATTCCAATATCTTACTAGGTTGCATTCAATTGTCCAGAAAGCATTCCCTGATTACTTCTATTTTGAATCATTCCTAAGGCGTATGTAGGCTCCATGAATGAAGCTCCAGATCCCATGTGATAGGTAGAGGTATTGTTCAGAGATTGGCTGTTCTCCATCATTTGAACCTAGATGATTCTCTTCTTTTAATATGATCTTTAGAAAGCATTCCTTGTTACCTTCATTGGAAAGGCTGGCAGTTAAACCGACTCATTAAGTACCATTATGTCCTTTTCCTCACTCATTCCTGGACTGATCTGAGTTTTCGCTTTACTCGTTACCTTAGCCCTTTCGTATTGTCTAATAAAGGATTGATACTTTGAATCTATGATGTTGCTAAATTTGCTGCTGTCAAGCAGTTCATCCCTCACTTGCTACTTCGATACAGTAGTTGGAAGAATATTGCCATAAGTAGTGTCACTTACGAGGTATGTGCCTGCTTGAGGTCTTGGAGAAATCTAAGTAGATTTGGCCTAATTTGAATCGTGGATGTCAAAGTAATTTGCAAATGAATCGCTCAAATTTACTTTATTGATATTCTAGGTATTATTAAGGACACTTTAGGCATGTCTACTTTTACTTTTAAGCATCGAATGCTGATGCTATCTTTCTCTAATGTCATCCTGATATCCTTTCCTTCTGAATGCTTACAGTGACACCTTGTTTAGCATGTTGAGTTGGGCACCTAAATTCTTAGAAAAGTTGACTTCCTCTCTTCTTTTCTCTCTATCTTGCTTGAATGTCATTACATTCAGTTTCTTATTAAGATTTTCAAAGAACTTCCTCTCTTTCTCTCTTACTATTATACTACTAATTAGTTCTTTTTGCTCTCTCTTAAATTGTATGAACTGCTCAAGCTGTTTCTCCTGCATTTGCTGTCCAAGTCCTTTGATATAATCTTTAAACTCTCTCACACTAGACACATCTTGCCTTTTATTTTCAATTTCAGCCAATTTAGCAAAGTTCAGTCTATCCGTGAGATCCCTTGAGCTGATGAAATCTTCTTCTTTTTACTACATAGACATCTCGTACAGTTTCATCTCAATATCTGTTCTTAACGTGATAGAGGTACTAACAGGTGACACTTATTAGGAATAGGATATTATATTTTTCTTAGGCTTGACAATTACCTTTTTAAATGGTGCAAATTTTTATGGACTGGCATTGATGTCTCTGCTGCTTGCATCGTAAATACTAAACTATTCCACATTTGATAGATTTGTTTCAGATTGATCTTTTGTAAGTATTTAAGGCTTTGTTTTGAGAGTAAATGAATTTGAATACAGATCGATACCTTTTCCAGATTCTAAAAAGCAGTCTTGCCTCTAATAGTATGGGTCTTTGTCTATCTAACCAGCGTACCTTTCAAGATCTTTTCCTGAAAGTATGATGTCTATTCCTTTTAACTGCTATTTATATGTAGAGTCTGAGGTTCTTTGCATTTAAATAATATCATGCTATGTGAATGAGAATCCGAAAGCCTCCCAAAGATCTCTTAATCTGTTTAGAAAGAACCCCTCTTCAATTTACTTCTAAGTGAAAACTTAAATGAACACCTGATTCTTTAGTAAGAATGTGAGCAAAGCTATTGTCATTGCACGTCTCTTAGCTTCAAGCACATTAGAACAGGAAATCTCTATAAACTTCAGGCCTTTCTTGAGATCGATTGTTTTGTTAACATAGTTTGCAATTTAATTATAGTCTTTAAGGGATGAGTCTATATTTCCATCAGTGTAATGTATTAATGCCATGATATCATCATCATAAAGCTCAACTGAATTCTTGATTTTAATTCCGATTGGGGTTATTGAATCATCAGCTTTACTTATAGTTTCAAGCTTTGGATCAAATACCCATCTGGGAAGAATGGAAAACTCAAATCTGGGGTTTTTATAGTTATTAATGAGTATTGCATGTGTTGAGGAGTCAAATTGATATTTGATGAATTAGTCAGTGAACTTAGTCGATCTTGAATTTATATTCTAAATAATAGTTGGTAATTGCAGATAAATCTATTCCTCCAGGTAAATGACATTAGAATCTATTTTCTCAAGGTAAATTTTAAGATTATGCAAGAACTTAAATCTTCTAGTGACTTTCAGATTTTTCCAACGAGACTGCAGGCACAGTGAAGCTCTGTTCTCAATGATTTATTCAATAAGTTTAAAAGTATTTTCATTTTTTCTCCAGAGGTAATGCCTAAATGCAGTTTAGATTGTGATGGCAGCTTAGACTTTGATCAAGGGGTATTTGAAGAACATAAGCACTTGCTTTTCTGGTGAAAATCTATTGAAATCTTTCACTGTGTTTATAAGTGCTTTTGCGAAATTCAGATTGGGAAAGAAAAAGGAATCAAAGTCCTGATAATGATCGTAATTTTTATTTCTTTCTGCAATTATGCGTTTCATCTTGACGATATCTACACCACAATTTCTCTGTCTCAACCTTTGCAACTTCTGAATATTTTCTGCTTTTTAATGCCCAAACTAGCACATAAAGAATTTAGTGCTTCTTCGAGTATTTTGAAATAGCTTAGCGCTATTGACCTTTGTCACCTTGGTAATCATACTGGGCATTAAATTATGAACCAGCATCAGAGTATTATATCTATGCTCACTAAAGTCTGGATATCTCAAGGTGCAGAATTCAGAGCCATGAGACACAAAGTTCTTATAGATGTCCGTGAACGAAGTTTGAATCTTCAGATTTTTGCAGGTCTTCTCTATCAAGTCTCTAAATTTGGCTCTCTGTTCCTTCAAGAAATATATAACTGGGTACTCTTCAATCCTCATAGCCTTTATATAAGAAAACTCTCTAGCTTTAAAGGCTCTATAAGCAGTTTGTATTCTTAAGATCATTTTGAGTTTTAGCTTTTGAGCTCTGCGCCTCCAAACATAGGCTCTAAATGGCTTCTCCAGGATAAGCCTAGCATTGTAGTACATAAGTTCTGTGTTAGTCATAGTGAGATACTCAAGGCCTTAGAGTTTCATCAAAAACCTCAACTCTCTTTTCATTCTAAGTCGTTGCAGCCAGCCTCTCACCATCTTTTAGATGTATATGATGCTTTTCTAGCGCTTTTCAAAATACTGAGAGTGTGCCACTCTGCGCTTATAGCCTCTGAATAAAGATTGAATTCTTATAGACGGACTATTTTTTTCAAATAATCTCTTCAACTTGTATATCTCTAATTCAACCTGGAATAGATGCTATTCAGCATTAAGATCTTCTTTGAACTCAGGAATGTAGAGTCTCATAAATGGACTTAGCGCTCTGAATCTAAGTCCGAATCCTACATCTTCCATTCTCTCCTCATCTGTTATAATGTATTCATCCAGGGCCTTTAAACCTGAAAGCTTGGTCACCAGATAATGCCGGTAGCCACTCACTTGAGAAATAGGATTATTGCTGAGAGTTAAGTGATACAAAGTGTCCGATAGAGAAGTAAGCGACTCTAAGTTGCTCCAATTTTGTATTAGATTGTGATCAAGCATTAGTATACGCAGATTCTTAAGAGTGCCCAGACTATGGAATGCAGGAAGCAGCACGATTTGATTGTGAGAAAGATTGACTTTGACCAGGTTGTTCATGCGCTGTAGATTGTTCAAATCTTGAAAGAAGCTGAGTCGGTTATGAGATAAAAAAGCTACTTGCAAATTAGTGCACTGACTTAATACATTAAAGCACTTCACAAGATTCTTAGATCGAAGGGAAACAACCAACACATCTTAAAGCCGTTTACAGTCAGTGTAGTTGAGGATCATATCTTCAGTAACTTCCTCAGCAGTCTCGTTTTCAAGGATTTATTACTGCTGTTGCAGTAACTGCGGGTCTAATTTATACATATATGAATTAAAGTAAAAATTAATATATTTCCATTATTTTTATTTCTTATGTGATTTGGTCATTTAATATAATTGTTGGGGTTTTGGGGTTTTGGGGTTTTGGGG